TTTTTGAAAAATAAAATATAATAATAATACTTAATTTTATTTTGATATACAATAGCTAGTAGTGTTAATGTTTAGTATATTATTAATTTATAGAAACTTACAAAATAAAGTTTTTTTTAAACATTTCAAGTGATATATAAAAAATATTATATTTATTATATATAATATGTAAATTTTAAAGATTAAATAAATATGTAACTATTTAAATATAGTCTATTAAAAATATTTTCTTTATTAAATAATGATTTTTATATTGAGAAAATATAAATAATTTATAAAAAAAAGTTTAACATAGAAAATATATTAAAATAATGTTGTAGAAATATTCTAGTAAATTTCTCATCGGAAATTTAGTAAACATTTTCAAAAAATAAAACATTTAATAGCTATTATAAACTAAATTATATATACATTAATATCGATAACTATATTAAAATTTCTTATTATAAATTACATTTATGATCGTTAATGTCTAATATTATTGCATTCATAGTATAGTGATATCATTTTGTTGGCAATAAATTTATTTTTTATAATTATAATAATTGTATTGACAGGTAATGTATATTCATATAAATTGCTTTTACGTTACGCCCAGTTATTTCTGTTAATAATGATTATATATTTAAATTTTAAATCTATTTATTTTTGATTACAATTTTTAAAATAATAATTTATTTGTTTGTATCTACATTTGTTTTGTAATATATATATATTATAATATGAAAACAATATATATTATATTTACAATATAATGTTATTGTTTTCGCATATAATATATTTAGCTATTCAATATGCTGTATATTGTTTTAACGTTAAATACATATTATAAATTATAATTTATAATAAATAAACTACTCTACTATGTTATTGTAAATATATCTCAAAATAAATAGTTATAAATATTAAAATTTACATAACTTTTTAAAAATACAAATTATAGCATTATTTATAATATAATATACTTTATAATGTATTAATTAATATAAACAATAATAAATTAAAATTTTAGTGTTCAGACTATTTTTATATACTGTATTTAATTAAATTTATATTTAATTATAATATAAAAAATATTCTCATATTTAATGAAATAACATTTTAATTATGTTTTTATTTCAATTGATTTGATTATAAAAGATAATTGCATTAATGAGAGATCAATGATCAATAAAAAAAATAAGAGAGAGAGAGAGAGAGAGAGAGAGAGAGAGAGTAAAAAAGTTTATCAGATAAATGTCACAAAAAATGAATTAAACGCAACAAACAGTTTATTAGACTCTTATCACAAGCAAAATGATTAACATTTAAGAGTTTAGCAGTTATTTAGTTCAATGTTTTGAAAAGTTTTTTTAAAAGTTTTAAATTAAAATATTTTGCTTAATATCTCAATGGGTCGCAGTTTGTACTCTATATTTGATTATTAATTAAATTGACAATAAAACAACATAAAAACAAAAAAAAATATATACACAAAAACAATTTATTATAATTATATAATAGTAAAATCCCGGATTATATAATTTAACAAAAATTATTCCCACATTTTTGTGTGTTTTGTTTATACAATTCATATATATATATATATATATATATATATATATATATATATATATTTGAATGTATTTTATAAGATTTCACACACAAAACAATAGACACATTATATTCACAAAAAATGTGAATCAAATGTATTAAAAAAAAGTGAAACCACAATGTAATCCAATTGAAACATTAAAACTATAAACTAATTTATATTATTATACTAATGGATTATATTTGTATAAATTGTTGGCACCAACAAAACAAAACAAAATAAACAAAACAAAAATTTGATTTATTTTTTTCATATTTCAACTTAATTGTCATATTTTTTATTCATACTAATAAAATTGTAATTTAATTTATTTGAAATTTTATTTGATATGATTTAAACTATTCATGAATAGCTTATATACAGTACGTGCTTATAAGGTATTGTGTGTTGTTTATGATATTAATATATTATGTAATATTAAAATAACAATTTTTTATGTTAAGAAATGGAGAGTAAGTTATAATCTCATTATTATTCATTGTTATCTCAAATATATAAACAATTGTATAAAATTTGAAAATAAAAACTTTAAAACTGGGAAATAAAATTACTATGATACATATGGTAATGTAATTATTAATATATAAATTTATATATATATATAATATTTTTGTTGTTGTTGTTAATTTAAATCATATCATATACAGTATTATCATATTTGGTTTGCATTATATAATCAAAATTCTACATAAATTATTATAATAACTAGGAAATATGAAAGTCAATAATATTATAATGTACATTCATATTTTTATAATATTTTTTTAAAAATAATCACATTATAAATATGTACTATTATTCAATATAAACTTTTTTTTAATGTTGTTTTAAAATAAAAATCGCATTTTTATTATAATAGTTTAAATTTATTTTTTATACATTTTTATGCAAATATGTAAAAATTATAGAAGTATTATAAATAATAATAAAAGAAATATTATAAGTTTATAAATTGATAGTAAATTTTATGTTATATTAATTCTATATTAGTTTATCAATAGTTTTTTTTGAACAAATACATAATCTATAGTTAAATGTTTGCATTAAATAATTTAAAACTTATTAAATTAAAATGTGTAAACATAAACATCTGTTATGATTATAAACTGAATTTAAAAATTAAAAGACACTTAATTATTTTAAACATTATTATTATTAACATTTTAGGTGCAAATTAATTTTAAAATTAATCAGACAATACAGTCAATGTTATTATAGAAATTCAATTATATAATATTTTTTCGTCATTATCAAAATAAAAGTCACTATTTGTTATAAAAGACAAATAAAATGTATATTTTTAACAATATTTATTAGTTCATATAAGTTTCAACTATGTGTATAATTTTAATATATTAATAATTATACACATGTACTGTACATCAATGTCAATAACTTATTGACAATAACCGTATACTTTAATGAATAAACTCTGTATATAATGGATATTTGACTGTTATCTGAGATATGATTTATCTCAATAAATATAAAACTAATTTAATCATATTATTAAACAAATAAAAAATGTGATTATAAGCTAATGAACAGGATATTTTTTTGTAAAAAATATATAAATTACCTAAACTTGTAATTATCTAAATATATGTTAAACTGCTTTTAAAACATTGAAAGACAACAATGAAATTAAGTTTAATATTACTACTAATAGTGGGCTCAGCTCTGGTGTCATGTAATGTGAGTTCATTATCGACGGCACAGACAACAGCCCTTCAGAAACGGCCCGTCAATGACGATGACCTGAAAACAGCTCTGGAAAAGTGGATTACAGTTGCACTGGACATAGCAAAGGCCATCGAGAAACGTGACATACAGTCAATAATAGCATTGGCATCGGCACTGGTAGATGCATTGGGACATTTGGGCCCATTTGCAACTATCATATCAAATATTATCAAATTATTTGATCACCACGACAAGGACCTGGAAGAGATTAAGAACCAGTTGAACATGGTCAATTCAAAACTGTTTGCTCTGGACAAAAAATTGGACAAAGTTATTGATGAGATTAAAATTGAGTCTATAATCAGTGGTTATAAACGTTATGTGGAAAACCTGGATACTCTCGAGTACTTCTATAAACGTTATTCAAATAATCCCACAAATGAAACACACGATGACTTTGTTAGGGTTTGCCATCAAAACAAAATGATTGAAGTTATTGTTTGGTTACATAAAGAAATCTGTTTGGAAAGTATACAATCGCTTATATGGTTTATGGGCGAAGATTTTGATCAAGCTAAGTTTGTCGACTGGTCCCGGATGATACTGTCCCGTTATATGCAGGCCACACTATTGCATACAGTGTGCGTCGGTATTACTGATCCGAATAAGGAGGACAGGGATCGTACGTTGAAAGTAGATGCGGAAGATTTCAGAAATAAGACACAACAAATGCAAACCGTTTTCGATGCGGGCATCAAAACAATCAAAAAAGGTTATTTCAAATATGCCCAGGGTGAAATTGAAGTGATGATGGCCGAAAATCCACAAATGGAGCATGCACAGTTTGCTGATAAGTTGCATAAATTTTTATCTGCTAAATATTCGTGGAGATTGTGGATAGTTGTCAGCTATAGTGGCAAAACAGCCGGCAATAATAATCACTTTATCAGTTACTATACGGATAGCACACAGTTTTGGAAACGGGTTAACAACAGGTGTCTGATGGTTGGATCAACTAATAATCGGGACTCGGATTTCAAAGCAATCAATTCACACGTCACACAATATACTGATACGGTTAGTACCGATTGCCAGAAAGTGGTCGACGATATTACCAAATCGTTCAATAAATACGATGCCGTTATGTGTGTACACTTTGGCAACGGTTTGCGGACCACATATGCGGCCAACGACGGCATATCGTTTGTTAACTATAAAAACAAAATATCTGTTGTGTTTGTTAAGGCCGATAGCGGTCCCGATTAAACCCAATTGTATTTCAATTTATTATTCAACGTTAAACTAAACTTTTTGTAATTAAGTTATAAAATAATTCAATAATTACTATAATTTGTTAACTAATTTAATCATTATTAAATATAATAATAAAACATAAATATAGTTATAGCATACCTATAAACTCGTATTCAATATTTTTCAAGTAAATAAAATATTAAATAAAAACCAGAATTAAGTATTATATTTGAGTAATTTTAAACTCATTATAAGCATAAATACTTTGATAAAATCAAACATTTCAAACCATTTATAATTTATTAGAAATACATTGACATTATTTGTTTGTTTGAAAAATCTCAATTTTCAAATGATTTACATTAATCAAATATTCAATGAAAACTATACTGTTTTATATCAATATAATCATTGTTTAGACAAATAAACAGCAAAATTGTATTAAATATTAATCATATATTTCTTGATTTTAAGATCTTCTTCTTCTTCTTCCTCCTCTTCTTCTATGTCTTCTTCTTCTTTGTCCATCACTTTGTGATCTACTTCTTTGTCGTTGTCGACGACGGCTACGACTTTGTCTTCTTGTTTGTAAACTATTTTGTTGTCTTCTGCTTTGAATATGACGACGGCGTCGATGTCTTATTTGTCGAACTGGTGGTCGTATGTCATCTTCAAGTAATAGTTCTTCTATTCTTCTAAAGTCATATCTATTGAGTTGTACCTGTGGTTGAAACACTTGTAGCGGTTCATCAATTGGTTGAAACATATACTGTAGTCCTTGAAATGGCTGAAACGGTATACGATTGATATCGTAATCGCTGTCCGATCGCACGTTTGATATGATATGACTATACGGTTGTCGACACACTGGACACGTGTTGTTCTCATTTGACCACATGTTGATGCAGTCCAAGCAGTACTCGTGCAGACAGTTCTGGATGAAAGACCGATTGTTTACCGGATCGTGACATATAGGACACCGATTGTTGGCATTTGTCTGATCATTTGATTGTCCATTGCCTCCCTGGGCTGTCAATGTATTTCTATTTGTCTCATTAACTTGAAAACTGTTGAAGTTTCCAACAGCTCTGGTCTTGTCATCTGTTCCTGTATTGTTGTTCATCAGATGACTGGTTGTATTTGTGAATGTATTACCTTATATCTGTGTGACCACAATTTAGCTCTTAGCTAATGCTTTTATTTAAAGTGGAACCGCTAACCGAACCGTCCGACTGTATGAATGTAAATACTTTAACAAAAAATGATAATAATTTGAATTTTTTTTTGAAAAACTTTATTATTGAATTTTATTTTTATTTAATTGTTTCGCGAGATTTTTTCTCGGAGATAAATCTCATTCATTCGCCCGACGGTGATGTCAATCGGACACCCGCCTGGTCTGGTGTTCCGAAATTAGGTGTTCCGTTGCTATTCCAGCCGAACCTCTTGGCCCGTGAGCTGCGGTGATGATCGCAACCATACTCTTGTTTGTCGTTTGCGTGATAGACAATCCAATCTTCGTGGCCGTCGGGCGACCGGAAAAAACCGTTATGTCCCGGACCGTAGACATGGACACTATCGTTGCGCACAAAATAAGGTTGTGGATGTTTGTGCCAGTGTTTTGGATTCATCGGATCAGTGCCGGTTAGCTCCAGTAAACCTAATTTGTAGTCAGCTGTACCACAAAAACTGGCCGAATATACAATAAATGTTTTGTTATTGTGTTGTAGGGCTTCCGGACCTTCATTGACAGCAATCGTAGTTCCCGATCGTTCCCACGATAGCAACGGTGACGATAGTAATATTTTTGATCCACTGGGTGTCCATGGGTTGGCCAATGGCATAATGAACAAATCTTGCAGACCGGGGGTTTGAAACGAGCCCAACAAATATAAGTGTTTATTGATTGTTATAATACTCGGATCAATAGCCCAACCGTTTTCTTTGGGATCGTGTAAATCGGCCTAAAATATATACATACAGTATATTAACAATTTTGTTTACAAAATAAAACATTTATACAATAAATATGCTATTTCTAGCACCTACCTTGAAATGGTAAGGTCCCATTGGATCGTCACCTTGACTTTCGGCCACATGTATGCGCTGTGAATTGAGATTACCTGTGGCACCGGCAGTATAGTATAGATACCATTTATCATTGATCAGATGAAACTCTGGTGCCCACGTATTATGCAACGTATGATTGAACACCACTTGATTGGTAGCCGTTCTCAGGCCGTCAAGTGTTTTGGATTTACGTATACGTATAGTATTGCCACCGGGTGTGGCCGACATATAGTAGTAGCCCTTATAGTATTGCATCCATGGATCGGGTGCCGACTCAACAATAGGATTAGTAAAGGTATTGCCAAAGACATTGCTAACAATTAATGTTAGCGATAGTAGCAGTAATGTTGTACTAAAAATTAACATTTGTGTTATTTAATTATAAGTTTTGTTACAATTAATTTTTTAAACAGTTTATGTAATTGATAGATAAATATAAGTGTTTTTTAAATATCTTACTAAATATTTATAGTACAGTAAAATACAGTATTTTTTATAACAGATGCAATGTTTCACACACTTTCAGTTTTTAAAAAAAAATAAAACAGGATTTTAAATAAATCTAGTCTACAAAAGTGATTTTCTGATAAATTATTTAATTTTTATAATAATCAAAATTGAAAATAGATCATAAATTTAGACTATATATACTAAAAAAAATATTAGAGTACAATAAAATGATTTTACTTAAAATATATTCACAAAAAATATATTTAAATAATATAACATTTGACACTTACATACATCAGTATCAGCAAATCATTAGTTATCTAGAAATGCATTACTAGTAGTGATAGTTAAATAAAAGATATCAAAACTTTTTTTTATGTTTTTTACTTTTTAGTCCCACATTTTTGTCTCGCTATAACTTAATTATATATATAATAGATTTATATTTAATTAACAGGTTTTATTTTAATTAATTTACAATAATATTTATTATTTATCAAAAAAATAATAACATGTTGACTAAATATAAATTTTATATTGAAATTTATTGTCTATTAATTTATTGATGTATAAATTTTAAATTAGATTACTTAAATTTATATCTGTATTTTCATGATATTTAGTTAAAATAACTAATTTGATAAGATAAAACATTTTAAAAATTGTTATAGCTAAGTTTATAGTTATACTAATACAAAAAATTTATACAGCTATAATTAAATAATTATTATTATTTAAAAAATAAAATATATTTAAAAAATAAATAAATAAAATACTGTATTTAAAACACACACTTTAGGAAAACATAATAAATAATAATTTTAATATTTAATTAATCTTTTGTTTTCATAGAGTAAACAATGAATTAAAACATATTTTATCACAACATATGATAAATTTATTCACTTTTTTATATGAAAAATACTATTAATAATAATAAATATATTATTTTTAGAATAAATAAATATGTTTTGTAATAAATAATTTAATAATTAATTAGATCTCTTGTAAATAAAAATATTTAAACTTATATAATACACGAATTTAAGTGACTATTTAATTGTTAGTTATCAATAATATAAATATTTTTGTATATTATTAAATATTATACTGTATATTGTTTTAGTTTAATTATTTAAAGCGAAAGACAAGTTAGATATAAACAGTAAATTTATAGATTTTTTATTGATTTAATTTAATTTATACTAAAAATTGAAAACAAAAAATGTTTTACCAATCAATTTCATATCACATAATATTAATAAATATAATGTTGTCATCCTATCAAACGGCAATAACAAACAGTTTACCAATTGATTTGTCAGTGACTTTAAGTTCAACGACAATTGCCGCCGAAGACATTGATTTATTGCAAAAATCTATTGAATTGATATACAAAACGTTTAACTTCTACGACAAACACATGTATGAGGTATTGATCGACGGTCTGTACGGACTACGGGTTATGAGCGACCAGATGTCGATGCTATTACATCGGATGGCTGACAGCCCACCACCTAAACCAGGACTCACTGTTTTGATATCAACACTCAAACAAATGGTACAAAAATCAGATGAAATCATATCGTTAGCATTGCCAACAATAGCCATAAAAGATCTGCCATATTATCTAAGTATATCCACATCTATGTGTTTAAAATCTAATCTAAATTTATTTGTGTATATTAACCCCTCCCTCTCCCCATTCCCTCCACACAGACATTGGTGTCATACTAGAAAAAGGTATGTTTGGACAGATACCTGATTACAGCCGGCGTGTCAATCGTAGCACTGAATATACTCATCTATTGGCCCAACAATTAACACCATTGAATGGAAATACATCTGACAATTGTATTTCTCAATTGACTGTCGGATGCCATTTGACTGATGAGTGTTGGAAAATAATGACAGGACTCGGGTATCAAAAGTATCAGTTGTCTCATGAAGTCTTGTATTTGCAAATTGCATCAAAAGTATCATATTTTTTTAGATTAAAAATATAGTTATATAGTTGTATATCAATATTCATCAATATTATATGAATATTGTTTTTCAAAATAATTACAGTATAACTGTCATCAAGAAATCAATTCAATGATTGCCAAACATAATCAGCAATCGTTGGAAAAGTTATTTGAAATATTTTGTACAAATATGTTGCGCGAGTGTCGGGAAATGACTGGAAATAATTCAACAAAAACTACGGATCAGTTGACAGGTTTTTATGGCGATAACATGGATCTACTAATGGAGGACAGTAAGCAGTTTTTATATCTTATAGATAACTATTATATAAATTAAATCATTGTTTCAATTTCTTATCAATAGTTGCTTTTTGCGGACTAATTGGATTCAAAGAGTTTACTATTGATAACAAACAGTGGCTGAAACTGATAATCAATGATCGGATTAATAATGAAAACGGTTGTTATGTTATCAATCAAAACACTTCTCGACGATTAAGACGACAACAATCTAATGATAAACACCGGAGAACTAAACGCCGCGAAGTAATTCTGTCGGACGGATGTCTACCACACAAGACATCGGTTGGATTGGCGGCCATTTCTGTCTATATTAGAGATATTATTTGGCAATCAATATATTAATTATTTTTATTGATTATAATTACATTTTAGATTATTTTTTAAAAAATAAATTATTTCAATTTTACTATTTTTATCAATAAAGTCTATAATCTACTGTATTTGAATGTTTATAAATTATAATGTGTTCGTCATATAGACAGACACATGAAACGGTGGTTTACCTTTTGAGGCTATCTATTGGTCATCGGGAGGATAATTGCAGGTCAAGGGGAAGCTCAGTCACTGGGGGGGGGGGTGTACACACTAAACTTGAAAAGCACTAAGATTCATTTTAAAATACTACTACTAAGAGTTGAGAAATTTTTTAAACTAAATATTATTACATTACAAATAATAATAGTTTTATTTATATTATTTACTAATTATTTTTTTTGGTTAAACTTAAATAAAGTGTAGGATTTTTTTTTAAATATTTAATATTATATGACTGTAAATCTAAATTATAATTGAAATATTAACAAAAATAAAAATATTTATTTATTGTATTGTAATTGTATTATAAATTTATTTATTTAAATATATATATATATATATATATATATATATTTATTTATTATATTATTTTATCAAAAAAACATTTATTCTCCTGCTGGTGCTGTTAGAGCTACATGAGCTGGTTGTGGTTCACCAAAATTAGGTGTTCCGTCCGCATTCCACGTAAACTTTTGTGCTCTGGCTGTCCGACCATCTTTAGTACACATATTACCAGTATTTTTATCATTACCGTGATATACAATCCAACTTTCCTGGCCATTCGGTGACGTAAAGAAGCCGTTATGTCCCGGTCCGTACACATGGGTTCGGTCGCTTCGGCGGAAGATTGGTTGCGGAAATTTATGCCAATGGCCAGCATTCAAGGGATCGGTACCGACAAACTCGAGTAAACCCAATGAATAGTCAACAGTAGAGCACGAACTGGCAGAGTATACAACATATGTTCGGTTGTTGTGATGTAAGCCTTCCGGTGCTTCGTTGACTGGAAACCCGGCTTTTTCCCAATTCATTGTCGGCGCCGCTAAAAATGACTTTTCAGCCGATGCTGTCCACGGATTGATCATTGGCTTAATAAATATATGTTGTTGACCATTGTTATTAAAGGCACCCAATAAATACAATTTATTTTTAATTGTCATCAGATTGGCGTCAACTTCTAGTGTGTTATCACCCGATCCCACGAGATCTGCCTATTAGTTAATTATAAATAAATTTGATTATAAAATTAATGATAAAATTTATCTAGATCATATTTATACTTTAAAATGATATGGACCCATAGGATCGTCGCCAGCACTTTCGGCTACATGTAGACGCTGTGTCATAATATCGGCGGTACGACCGGCTGTATAGTACAGATACCATCTACCGTTCCACTGATGAAACTCCGGGGCCCACGTATTGTGCAATCCATCATTAAAGACGATCTGTTGGGGCGCCGATTTGAGGCCATCTAATGTCTTAGACTTACGTATACGTACTGTATTATCACCGGTAGTGGCGGTAAAATAATAATAACCCTTATAGTAGGTCATCCATGGATCAGGAGATGACGGTACTATGGGATTGGTATATGTGTTGGCCTCAACTAATAATACAATATTTGCCAACAATACCAAACAAAATATTTGTAAGTAAGACATACTGTATGCACCAGTAGTTGTTTGTATAGTTAGTTAAATTATTTTTTTTGTGATTTTATAATTTGACTCAATAAAAATTGATTTTATACTAACTTATCATTAAGCATAACAAGTGATATAATTCACATGTTTTTTAATACAATTTTTTTTATACAAATACCGATATTAAAACAACACTGTGTTTGATAAAAGTCTACCATGATAAAATTGTACATGTATTATTTATCATTAAACTTACCAAGTTAAAATTTGTTGTATAATTATCATAATAAGTGGAATTTTTTTAGTATTAAAAAAAATTACTATCAATTTGGGTTGATTTAAGTTTATTTCAAGAAAACAAAAATATATAATATTAATTATAATTAAAGTATGTCATTATAATTATAGATAATTAAAAACTTATTAGTTAATAATGATAATAATAAAAATAAATATGATTCCGATAAAATTCAATATTTTTTTAAACAACTTAAAAATATAATTACAAAAAATTACAGTTACATACATACATAGAGACAAATTACATTTAAAAAAAATACAATTGTGGTCAACAATTTTTTTGTTTTGTATCTAAATTATGCTTGCTTATTAATTGTAAATTGTTTAACTACATTGCCTTTTGCAAACATTCCTGTTAATGAAAATAAAAATAATTAAATAAATAAAATTATTTAAAAAAAATAATAATAATTTCCACACAAAATACATACAAATTTTTGAATTTGTCTTTTTTCAATCTCCATGTCCGACAACTTTCTAATTTCATCCCAAGTTTTTTGATAATCTGGTGACTGGTATTTGCGTTCATAGCAGTCACGGATCTACAAAATAAAAATTATTAATAAAATTCATTTAAAATGATAATTAATTTAATAATTATTATTAATGTAATAATGATTACATACTTTGCAATTAAATTTTCGTTTGTCATTCCAGTTGAGATCACCGGATGGGACCAACTCTTGACACTCTTTATACATCATCTGTAAATTCAAACATAATATATATATATATATATAAAGTTTTATATAAAATTATGTATTAAATGTAATTAATTGATATCTAATTAATAAAATAAATATTACATCAATTTTATAGTGCGGATCAAATTTATCGCAGTCCTCTATTTTGGCGATTATATCCTGACTATAGTCGGTATCGGAGCACAACTTTTTGTCTACAGAGCTCTTGATTCGCATGAGTGGACTATTATTAGGCGGTCCCCGTTGTCCCGGTGCTGGTCGTTGGCCAAAACACATGAGTGCCAGTCCTAATAATAAGACACCGATCACTGCTGTATTGTAAGCGCACATAATTTTTTTCAGTTATGATATTAATTTCAATACTATATCCCTCACTAGAAAAATGTATATTAAATATAGTTCAAAAATTTTTTATTTAAACTAATCTTTTTGTCAAAAATACAATAACTGTTTAGATTTTATTTATGTAAACTATAAATTATACACTATTTTGAAGATCAAGTATAGAAAAAATAGTCAATAAATTGTAAACACATATATACACACACAATGTAACTATTGTTTGACAATTTGATTATATGTAAAATATTTTCAAACTAAACAAATAATTTATAGTAAAATTAAATACACAATAAACTTGTAGATCTCATGTTTACTTTTACTTTTTCGAAATTAAAAAATAAATAAAATTGTTTCAAAAACATATTGTTTATCATTCATATAAATGTAAATTTATATTAAAACTATTATTTGTGTATTTTTTGTGTGTATGGGTTTTAACTTTGAAAAGGTTACAGTATTTACATTGAATTCATTGAAACTTTAAATTAAAATTATACTTATAATTATTTTATTTTTTGACACTTTATTTACAATAACTATATTATTGACTCAGGCCATGGTGACTATAATATAATAATTAAAAAAACCATATATTTATTATAGAACTTATGATATATTATTAATAGTTATAAAAAATCATAATAATCATCAATAAGATAAATTGATGTTATTATTATTATTGTTATTATTAACAATTATTATATATAACTATAATTATAAATACAATGACAGGATATTATTGTTATTATTTTTATTATTAGCTTAGCTTTCCTTAAAAATTATTTTTCAATATTCATTCATCTATGTCTAAAATTTACATATATATAAATTTAATAAATAAATATTGAATATTATATTATTTATAAATAATTATCATTTATTATTGAAAATATTATTATTTATTATTATAATAAAACGCAAATTAAAACTTATTAACTGTCCAAGGATTTCAAACATAATGTGAATTATCTATAATATACTAATATATAATTTGGAAATATATGTCTATTTATCGGTCACTCAAAGAGGGTGTTCTTTACTTTAGATCCCATATAGTTATTCTGTGTGACCTAACCTAACCTAACTTAAACTACTTTAAAATAAAGACATAAAATCGTATGAAAAATCAATTGATATTTAAACTAATGTTTTATAAGTTATTAGTATTGCTCAGAAACAGTATTTCCCATAATTATCAGTTAATTAATATTTTTAAAAATCATAATAGTTACTTGTTAGTGAACAATTATTTTATTAATTTACAAATTAATACAAAAAAACCAGTTTATGATAAATTAAATTAAAAAAAAATTTACATATAAAAAGATTTTTTTTAAATATTTAAAACTATAACCAATTATTATTTATTATAATTCATTTATTACTATATACTGTATAGTATTATTCAAGCATAAAGTTTTTCCAAACCATTTTATTTTAATAGAGAAAAGTTTCTATACATTAGTTAAATCTAATAATAATAATGTTAATTATTTATATTTTATTATACATATTACTTATTATATTTATAATTATAACAATAAGCATTGTGTCGTAAGTTATTAATATTAAAATAAACGAAAGATAAATATTTTTTTAAAAATTTTACACATATTTTTTTTTAATTTAGAGCAATATTTTTGAATTATTTGCATTATAAAAAATATGGCATTGAAGTTGCACATATGATAAATATTAAATTTTTATTATTCAATCAATATAAAGTATTGTGCGAACTATCGGCTAAATGTGGCAAAGTTTATGCCATTAATAAGTTTGTTGTCATCAATGATCCCGATTTGCTGGAAGAGGTTATGGTTACAAACAGTCAGGTGACGAGCGGACGGTGCGATTTCTATATGGGTAGAGATGACTGTTCAATGGCTCAGACATTGTTTTGTCTAAACGATTATAACAAATGGAAACGAATTCGTAAGATTATGGGACAGGCATTTACACCCAACAAACTTAAGGAACAGATGCCATACAATGAACGTATTGCTGATCATTTGGTCGACCATTTGGTACAGTATTCAAGCACTGGTATGTGTTTTGTTTTATAATACTCTATATACTAGAATACCTAGTCTATACCGTATGTACACTTTATATAGATATATTTTTCTAAATTTCCATCATTTTTATTAAAACATATTAAATAATATGATATTTTTATTTAAAATTTAAATAAATAAAAATTATCACCAAGGTACCACCAAAAATTTTGATATAAAAGATGCACTGGTAACATTTACGTTAAATATTATTAATGCTCATGTATTCGGTGCCAGTATTAACATGTTTGACAACTATAACCACCCGTTTCTGGTAAACGCCAATAAACTATTTTCATGTAATAGAGGTATAGTTTGGTTGACAACAATATTATCACCAAAAATCGCACAATTCTTTGATTTTGATCCATCAAACTATGAAGCGTTGATATATTTTCAAAATTTTGTCAAAAATATTATCTCATCTAAAAGCTATGGTAAGCAAAAAAAACAAAACAGAAAAATAACAGACAATTATTATGATTTGTTTTAGTTAAAGAATTTATTGTATTTGATTGCCATATATGTTCATAATATTAGTTTGTTTTAATAATATTCATTTATTTATAGCTTTATCTTTTATCTCAAATACATAGATTTATATTAAACAAAATACATATATTATATATATATTTATTTATGTAAATAAAATATATTACATGTTTTTAAAAGATACAACAAATAGGACAAACTTTATTCAAATGATGCTCAATAAAAGGGCAAATATTTTGAATAATAATAATAATAATTTACGGGAACAGTATCTAAGCGATAAAGAGCTCAGAGAACAGGCAATTGTTTTGCTAATCGCCGGCTTTGAGACAACAAGTAATGCTTTATGCAGTGCTGTCTACTATTTAGCCAAACATCCCGATTGTCAACAAAAACTCTATGAAGAAGTGGTCAGTTTTTTCAGCGACAGACAGACAGACAATTATGAGGCGCTCAATGAACTCAAGTATTTGAATGCTGTCATCAATGAGACACTTCGTATCGCACCTCCCGCTGCTTATTATCCACGACTGATCACTCAGGACTATAAATTTAAAAATACTAGTATTTATATTTAGTTTATTATATTATATTTTACTTTTACTTTTATATTTATTAAATTTTAATTATACAATATATTTTATAATAATAATAGACATAACATTACCAAAAGACTCTGTACTTATGGTACAGCCTTATGTTATGCACCGAATGCCACAATATTATGCCGATCCCGATGTTTTTAATCCAAACCGTTTTATGGACCAAATGTCTAAACCGCCGTCCAATGTGTTCATACCCTTTGGCAACGGTCCGCGCATTTGTATCGCACAATGTTTTGCTATTAATGAAATGCGTATATGTATTGCAAAATTAATACTAAACTATGATTTTGCATTAGCACCGGGATTTCAGGTATTAGTATCATAAAATTTAATTTGGTTTTCAATAGTTTTTTTTAAAATAATTTACTTTTTCATACTTAGATTAGTTATTATAGTCGCAATCCATCATTGAATCCAAAACAAGTATTAGTAAACATAAGAAAACGTAATTAACTTAAATAAATATTAGATTTTATTACAATTTGATTTATAATTTTAAATTACAACAAATTTAATTATTATTGTTATAATTACATTTTAATTAACATTTAAATTTTTTCAGTAATAATAATAATATTTACACAACTTATTAATTCAATAATTGTATTAACATTACAGTGAATGTTATAATTGAACCTAAAAATGCAAATAAAAAGTTTATATTAATAGCGAATACATTAAATGCCATATATTTAATGTTATTATAATTGTTAACCACATTCTGTGTAACCATTGATTGAATGAATATGTCTTTTATGTTTAGCGATGAAAACATTTTTGGCATTAATATTATTATATCATTAACATTTGGTCTATGAGTCTGATAATAGTTAATACTTAATACATAAATGATAATAACCAAACAAAATAATAAATAATCAATTAATCCATAGATAATATTACTATTCAAAAATTGTTTATCATTTATCGATATATAAGTTAATCGCAAACAAGTTGTCTGAAATATTTCTGCAAACATTAGAAACGGAAATAAACCGAAATTATCATTTAATAATTTTTTCAATTTTTCTATTTTCTGTAACTTATGACAAAATTTTTCATAATTTATATGAATATTATTGTTAGTAATTAAACTATTTTCAATAACATATATGTTATATGCTATAAAACTTAATAACATGGGTACGGCCACTGAAAACCCAAATATAAAAATAGCGTAAATCATAGTTAATATTAATAAATGCCATTTTAGTTTTAAATAAGCCAACGATATCATAAAAGGTATTATATCCAAAAATATTAACAAAATCCAAATAACTAACAATAATAATGAAATAAATCTAATTTTGCTATTTTGTCTATTATTTAAATATTTATGTATAGTATTTAATAGTTGTCGTAATTGTGATAACTTTACTATAAATAACACATACATAAACAAATACATTGAAAATGTTATGAAAAATGAAATTTCGTACAACATTTGTTTTAATAATTTAAATTGAACTATATGTAGATAATTAAAATAATTTTCATAACAAAATAAAAGTAATATTGTTATTTTAATTATAGTTTGTATCAAATATTTGACAATAATGTATCGTTTTTTAAATAAAAATAAATTTATACCACAAATTAAAAAAATATATGAAATATATTTATAAACTTGTTTGCAATCTAAGTTTGACATTTTAAAATAGTTATTCTTTAATATCAATTTTAATTGTAAATTATTAAAACAATTATTCAAAAAAATTAATAATTATAAATAGTAATATATTAATTATAGTATATACAACAAACCATAACTATTTATTATAGTCAATATTAAACATTAATATCTACAAACATATTTGTTTCCATAGATATTTTGTTATAAATATTTATCTTCAATATCTTAAAATTTATTTATTTATTAAAATTTCATTTATATAAATTATTATTATTTATATATTAATAAAATTCTTAATAATTGAAATACTAAA